TTCCCTACCTACCCCAACTTCCAACTTCAAACCTGAATGCCTTAGGCTGCGCATTCCCTGTGATGAGCCTTTATTTTTAAAGTCCCACATTGCATAACTCCTATGCAGCATTTTAATTTCCCTTTAGTCCTCTCAAACAGCTTGGCAGGCAATTCTCCAAGAGAATGCAGATAAATGCAAAAGCAAATTAAGAATCTATCTGCAGTTCAGATTTTCTCTCAGTGTATTTGTTATATCAATATTAATGCATTTAATGCCATCTATTATTCCCACTAGAGTAATATAAGGTGGATTTACCGTCAAAAGATCTCCAAAGGTAACTTTTCATTAGAAAATAAAAATTGAATTTTCCCATCTTCCATTATCAAAAGATGCATTTAGTAGGACTATTTATAGAACCATTTGTATATGCTCATAAGCATTTCAAATTCTCAAGGACTAAGGAAAACTTCACTGACTTACTTGTCTGTGAGCATCTCTGAGGTAAGTATCATAACCTGTACCCTCCACGTGGTATGATGACTTAGCTTCATCAGGTACAAGACAGAGAAAACTAAAGAGAAAAAAAGTACGTTAATGAGTATCTATAACCCACAGAGCACCAGATCAATACTTTCTCATCATGTGTAACAGTGTACACAATACTGAATTGTCTCGCCAATTAATCCACAGATTCTACCATAACTTTATGTGAAGAACAGAGAATACAAAATCTATTTAAGCACATCTATTCTAACTACTGTTTGTAATAACAAGATACATGCTTCAGAACTTTTGTATCTAGCACTAGAGGTAAAAACCTCAGTGGAAGATTTTCTGAGAATTAGCAGACAGAATGGAGATGAAAAGGAATATTCGTAACCAGGTCAAGTATTTGCTAAAGGTCAGACTCCATCTTACTAGAGCATATCGAAAATTGACTGGAGAATAAATGAGCCAAAAGAGAATGAGAATTACAGTTAAAATTCTTCTTAACCTACTGCATAAGCAGTTTTATGTACCACAGTTTGTTGTGGTAAAAAATGAACATCTAAGAACATACAGGAATATTTGCATATAAATGTCCCAGTTACAAATATCATTGCCTTTGCCAGGTATGTAGTGTAAATACTGTATGTCCCTATTACTTCACCAATATCTGACCTAAAAAGCATCAGGAAATTCTGAATCTTATTAGAGAGGAATTGTCCTTAAAAAATAAATATAAAAACCTGAAATTTCTGGACAGCAAAATAAAACTCATTCTTTGGACCCTGTTTCCAAATTTCAGCTTTCTCCACACCCCAAGAATTGCTGGAGGCTCCTGTAAGATTTATATGCAGAAATATGTAGTAGCTGACTTTTCGTACGGAGTCCATCTTATCTGAAAAAATACAAATCTGCAAAACACTGCAAATCCTGAAAACAATTCCATTCACTGATGGAGATTACACGAGGTGAATTTAGGAGAGTGTTCTTTGCGTCTTTGCTCCAAACCATGTCCACCATAAACTATATATAGCAGCACTGGGGGAACGAGGGCAAGAAGTGGCGATGACATTCTGTGCCGACTGTCCTCAGGCTGTTTGCTTCCTTTGGCTAACACCTTTGATTATTTCTGGATAAGTAGATAGGTCAGCCCTGAAATACCAGTGCTGCTTTGCTACTGTGTATTAACAGAGCAGACAGCATTTGTCCTAATATTAGTTGCTAAGAGAATTACCATCACTAAGTTGCTTAGAGCAGAGCCTGTCCTCTTTGTGATATCCAATTTGCGGTACATCTAACATGCACAAAGGTATGTTAGAGGTGACAGAGATGCCCCTTGATTTTCACAGAATAGAAGGTTATCTCTAGCATGGCAATTATTTCCTTTTATATATGTGTTTAAGGAACTTTAGGAAGTTTGAAGGGTTTTTTCCCCTAAAACTTTTATAGCAAGACTCCCCAAACTTCTCCAGGGAGGCCAAGTCCTGTAACAGCAGTTTAAGTATAGCAAATATTTTTGAGAAAAGAAAGTTTTATAATCAATATGGCTTTCATCATGAATTCTGAGTATTCAACTAGACTATTAGCTGTAAAGTTCTTCTATTTTCCTCATTTATGTTGAATTACTTTTACTTATTGTAAGCTGTAATCTTTCAGGAGTAGCTTTCTGATAAAATGCCACATAATTTCCTTCTGTGGAGTCTTTTTACCAGCTGGCACAGAATAACATCCATTACAGAGTACATTTGATTTGCACAGTATGTGCAGACACCCACACATTCAGAGATTTCTTTAAGTGTTTGTTTCAACTTACCTATTTACAATTTTATGAACTTCAGTCTTGCCATCATTTTTTGGATGTTCTGGACTGACAGGTGGAGAAGCACTGAGCCACTCTTGAGTTGACAATGTGTTATCTGGAGACAGATCAGTAAATAACGGATCTTCCTCTAGGTCTCTGTGAGGTTATATTAGACAAAAACATAATCATTCACAGAATGTTATGGAAGGCAGGAAAATCTCTGGGTCAAAATGCATGCTTTCTATTTTTCATCTCTGAACAACTAGGATGTTTTCCAGAACACTATCATATGCACATCTTTTTACCTAATTAATATGCAGAAATAGTAACCTTTACAAATGCCCAACAAACTTTGTTTTGAAGAAAAATCATAACTTCTTGATCTGAGCAACAGAGTAGACATTTTTGACTCATACAAAATCACTGCATTAAATCACTTAAACTCTTTAGCCACATTTTTACACGAGAGAGAGTTATACTCCAGGAAGTCATTAGATTATTTTAGATGACTCAGAAATACCTAAATTAAGATGCCTAAAATAGCTGGTGTGGCTAGTCCTTACCCCTCCATCAGTAAAAAAAGGAGTTACGAGAGTTACGTAGGGTATTTAAAAGGATTTTATGTAAAGTGTCCCAGAAAAGTTCTTCCACCAAAAAATGATTCAAGAACATAAATGTAAGCAAGACACCTAAGTGATTGACTGCAAGAATAATCTAATTGAAAACAATACAAATAAGCATAGACTTCAGCTAGGTAGGTGCGTAAGTGAACTGATATATGAAGACCTTTGAGTGCCTATTGTTCTGGAAAGAGGCTTTTGATAATTTTAGCTTTTTTGTTACTGTTCTAAAAATTTCTGGAAGTTGCTGATATAATGATTTCTGCATCACTCTATGGATACGGATTAATACATAGAGCACTCAAAGTGCTATCTATGCTCACTTCCTGAAAAAAAACTGTTTTGTTCTAAAAATAAGGATCCAAGTTAGCTGTTGTGAAAACTTGCCTTAAAAAAAGAAACTTACACTGCTCCTGCAATCTGTCCATTCTCTACCACATCTTTATCTTCTTGACAGAGAGGCTTGTATTCCATATAGTTTCTTTCTTCTAAATTTCTCAGAACCAAATTATAAAGAATGTGCTCATTGGGTTTTTGCAAAAGGTGCTCAAACATTCGTAAAGTCATTATGCTGATCTGCAACATAAAAGTAAAAATTCAATAAACTGATGCACTGCTGCCTTATGCTTTTTGCCTTATATCTGATTTGTACATTGTAGAACATTGCAATTGCTTATTTATGTTACCGAAGGAAGAAAAAAATCCTAAGAAAAATTAGGAAATTATTATACTGAATGTGCTATAAACATGGATGAAAAGTTCACACGCATTTGAAAATCAATATGTGGATGTATTTTTTCCCTGTAAAACAAAAATTTTTCTAAAAACTGCCAAAATAACAATACAAAGAACATTCAGAGAACTTACAACTTAGCTTTCCATATTACAATCAGATCCATGCTGGAAGATGGTTATCATTGTGCAAGCGAGACACAGAACAGACTTAAAGGTAGTAATAAATACCCAGAATAAGCTTTTTACATGGAGATATTATGTAGGCTTTTAAAAGGAGACTGACTTTAAGCAATACAGAGACAGTTTTTAAAGACAGCTTTATAGTGCTTAGCTTTGCAAAGATCAACTGATTTATACAGATAACTGATTTTGACAGGGTGAGCAGGTAAGCATACTGAAAAAAATGGCTATCGAAGGCATAGATCTGTATTTCAGGCAAGCTTGGTTTTTATTTGAAAAAATAGAGGGTGGAGGTTGTTTCATGGAAAAAATGAAACAAGCAGCTCCTGAGGAGGGATTTTACTGAAGACAATTATTTTAACAACGTTTACTGTGTGTAAAGTGCTTAAAGTTATTGTATCGTCTTTTAATTGGCATTGTGTATATTCTCGGACTACAGTTACTTTATATATAAAAAAAAATAACTTTAACTATACCTCGTGATAACATGACAGAATTGACACAACAAGGAAAATAACAGCAATGCAACATATAACAAAGCATGAATTAAAATGCAATTACAGAAACCGATTTTGCCCTATCTTATAGATGAGCAAGCCCAACAACATGCGCATAAGGGGCAAGCAAATTTAGCAAAGAATCTTTATTAATAGGAACAACGTGGTAGCTGGAGAAAACAGCTTGACTTTTATTTTCTAAAGGGAATTTATAGTGCTTTTTTGCTTTTCCTTGGCAAAAAAACTTAGCTGACACAATATGAAAAGATCTCACAATGGCGTTTTTACAGAATCTACGGAAGACAGAACTGGCCAGCAGATATCATTATATCATTACCACTTCTCACCTCATCCGAAATATGATCACAGTGTTCGATTAACCTGTGTCGCAACGGATGTCTGTTGATGTCTGCCAAAGTTTCTGGCTCTCTGTGTTCTCCAAGTATAAAATAAACTATTTCCTGCAGCAGGACATCTGAAGTCACTTGACGCACAATGCGATGCAATAGTGCAGTTGATGTGAGGATTCCGATCTCTGAACTGAACAAAAAATTTCATGTCAGGTATGTAGTGGATTTCAGCTGAAAAAAAAATCAGCTTGATTCAGATTCTGTTCTGCTGTGTCTTGTAGGATGCTACTCACGTTTGCATCAGCTGGGGTTCCATAACATCAATGAAAAATCGTTCCCGCACAGCTTTTGCCATAGCAACAGCAGCAGTCTGAAACAAAAGTACAAAATGGTATGTCTCAAACTCAAAAGCCAAGAAACAACTGGAACTACTTATTTGCTGAATATATTTGTATGATCTGTAAACATTTCAAACCTTTTGTGCTTCTTTGATGAGTTGATCACAGTAGTCAAACCATGAAAGAAACGAAATCAACGCTCTTTTCCCTGGAAAAGCAGATGCATCTTCTTTGTGGCTATAGGAATCCAAACTAGAGAACACAGGGAAAAATACTTATTTAGCCTACAAGTAATTGAAGAATCTTGGACTTTATTCTTACTGAACTTAACAGAATCATTAATGGTCTACTCGCAAAGAAGTGAACCTTAAAATAGTTTTTTCTGCCAGTCTCTACTAATCTGGCAGTGCTATTATTACACAGGTTTTCAGTGGCATGCTAAAGGATACATAGTATGTACAGCAGCAGAACTCTGTTTCGTTAAGTATTTCTTGAGTCAGAAGGGAAAACTGATCACCTAGCCTGTTCTCCCAGGAAACACAGATCACAGAAACTGAATCAATAACTCCTGTAGTCAGAGAACCATAAAATGAAGGCAATTGTTCTTCTCTACTCTGTAAGCGACCTCAATCAAGTCCACCAAAACCACAGTGTATACCTGAACCAGATTGTATCTTTCAGAAAAAAACATGCATCCCAATTTAAAGGCTCCACAGAATAACAAATTCACCATTTTCTTTGGTAAAGCAGTCCAATAATTATTTATCCCACTATTCAAAGTTGCGTGTTTTTCCCTTCTAACTTCAAGCTCCAACCACCAGAAATTTTGGTAGTTATTTTGCATATACCTATTTTTTGTCTCAGTACTAATAGATCATGAGCAACTGATAATAATGAAGGCAGAGGGGGGAAGAGAAATGTTTTGAGAATCTAGCATGCAAGCAGTTAGGGTAACTGGCATGTATCTTTTGCTTCATGCTGATGAGTTATGCAGTAACTCTTTCCTTCTTCTTTTCTACTGCAAAAATTTTGCAACAACAGCCTGTTATCAAAGACACCCTTCCTGCCCCCTGCAGCAGCTTACAGCGTTCACTGTGTACAGTGCAAAGTTTTTGTTTCCTAAATCCTTAACATCCGAACAAGAAAATAATTTGTACCTGATACTGCAGCTACACCACTACAAATTGCTAACGTAGTTCAGTGGAAAAACCTGCCCCCTGAGGAATCTCTGCGAGGGACTGGCAGCCAAACCTGGCCCTACGTCAGAAATCACGGGTACACTGGACGCCCGAAGTCGTACCACTATGCTGCAGCTGGGATCTCAGCTCTGCTCTTGAGACTTTAGCATGGGGGTGTGAATATTTTACACATCTTATCTACCTATAGAAAATTAGTTTCAGGGAGGGGTGTAAAGTCACCTTGGGTATTAAATACAAAAATAAAATTCTTACCCCCAGTTAATTGCCTCCACTGTTTCAATGTCTAAGGGATCCAGTGACTGAGGCAGGGCTTTGTAGAGGGTGGCCAGCCTGTCTGTCAACAATTCACATAAACAAGTGCTTTGAGTCAGGCACTTGGCAGCTGCTGGTTCTGGCAAACTCACCAAAAGCATGAGGCCTTCACAGGCCTTCACTGCTATCCGGCCGTCCTGGCAGAAGGGCATGGAAGAATTAATCAGAAGGTGAATGAAGCTCACTTAAATCACGAAGCAAACATCTCCCAAATAAAACCTCTCCATTCCCCCACAGTGAGTGAATGCATTTATTTTTGTTGCCTTTCCAGTGATTACAATTTATTTCTACTGAATTTAGACAGTACAAAATAAAGAATCTCACCTGAATCCATGTCAAATACTAAGAATGCAACTGCAACCTTCAGACTGACAGACTAGTGCTGTAGGTCAGCTTAAGACCAAGATGTTAGACAATGTAAACTATCAATTAACAATAATAAGGTATATCGGTAGATTTCGTTTTCTGCTCTCTACACTGCTGTAGCAATTACAGGCTTACCCAACCCTCCTCTTAGTTTTCTGAAGGAATCTGAGCATGAATTCAAGGATGGAGCTGGGTAAGACATACAGCAGTTGTTTTTAAAAGAAATCAAACCCCTAGAGAGAGCCCAGTGCCTTTACGAAAAAAGTGGGTTTGGTTAAGTCACTACAATTGAAAGTAGATTTTTAAATATTCTCTTGTGATATATCTAACCTAATGATTATCCTATGTAGCTTGTCTGTGAAACATGCAGCATCCTATACAAACTGCTCAAAACCCACCGACGTTACCATCAACAAACTTAATATTCATTTTCTAAAATAATATTTTAACTTTAATCTGAATCAGCAAAGAAAATTACCAATTTACAAAAACTGCCTGCACAACAAACCTTGTTTTACTTTTTATAGTTAAAATACAGTGTGTACACACATGTATATTCGCTCCCTCTGCCCACTTCACACAGCATCCAAACTATTTCACTTTACCACATTAAAAAAGAACAAAAAAAAACAACTCACGGGACTTTTAGTGAGGTTTAGTAGAGAATTCACTAAATTATAGTCTTGATTTGGACAAACAGTGGAGGACTCGGGTGATGATGTGACATTTAGTTCATCCAGACTGAAAGAGAGATCATCCGCCTGTTGCGGGAAGTCATCTTCCTTCTCCATTTGCTCCGCTCCAGCAGCACCAGGTATTTCTTTAGGTTGAACGGGCTGTCCCGTGTCTGTTGTCAACAAGTCTTGGCCTTTTAGCATGTCTTCTGTGATTACGCTTGCTGATCCTTTGGAAGCCATTGCTTTTAACTTACTCTGCAAAGCATTTTGTTGGAATTACACAGTTGAAATTACTGTTCATCCTGAAGCAGAAATTTACTAAAAGCAAATTTTTTACATCAGCATTTGAAGTAGTTCTCTACAAGGCTGGATACAGTAACCATGTAGAATGTAATGGGTTGCGGGGGCGTGGGAGTTTTTAAACCTAGAACATTTTTTAATCTGCTTAAATTTCTCTTAAGCCCTGTACCATTTTGCTTCAAGGCTGAATATGCCATTTACAAAGAAATGGCACCTTTTTCTCTCCACCACTTAAGGCACATATTCACTTGATTTGCCCATTATTTGATAGAAGTTTTTCATTTACCTTACGAGTGTACCTTTAGACCTTAGCACATACTAGAAAACATTCCTTTCTAGGTCAAGGCCTCAGATTCATCTATGTCTGAAACACTATTTCCAGTTGGAGTCATACAATTAAATTCATTCTAAACTTCCTGAGATTTTATCTTCAAGAGGAAAGGGAAAAAAACGACTTTTATGACAGCAGAGTACTCTCAAGCTGTCTTTCTCATGAAGAAAAAGTTGAGTAGGTTGAAAGGACAGAAGATACTAGAAGCTAGCGTTGGGCACTGGATACTATAACAGATCACAGAGAACCTTCTCGGAAGCTACAAAGCATCTCTCCTTAGCCTGAAAGAAAGCAACCCATCTGTCTTCCCATAAATCTGTCTCCAGCACATAAAAAGACATTTAAATTTGTGCTCTGTGATACCAAGAAGAAACTAGCAGCAAGGCAAGAATTCAGCGTTCTTCTGGCATAAGCACGGGTGAATAATACTTTATTAGAACCATAAATTAGACTTCAGCACAAGACATTTTTTCAAGTGAGTACAGTAGTGAGATTATAAATCCAAATGGTTTCCCTCCTCTATGATAACACCAAAATTATTAAAAATATATCTCAAGCATTAATAATTTAAAACAGTAACCATCTGGGGTTAATGGTGTTTAGTACATAGAAACCAGCAGGGACTAACTACACGACAGTCTCAGGCAGCAAACTAGAGAACTGCTGTGAATGCTTGCTTGATTGATGTGCATTCTTTGTGGAAATTTGTACTGAATGTTGTGATATACACATATAACCAATTCCCTGGTGAGGCAACCCCGTGGTAAAAGCGGCACACTGCATGCTATAAAATAAGTATGATTTTTGACTAGGGTAGAAAAATTACTCCTTCAACATAGGGGTTTTTTTTACAGTGCATAAGGCTGCAAAGCAACCAAAATGTGTCTGTCTGAACCGTGTCTGTCTATCCCTAAATCTTCTAAAGTCCTCCAGTATCCTCCCATATATTTTATCAATACACAGGAATAGCTGAATCACAATGATTCAGCCTGGCACATAAAGCAGAACTAAAGGCTGGAACTGCATTTCAATCCGGGATTATACACTGTTGCTGGCACTACTTGAGTAGCAGGAAGGGTTGTCAAAGAGAAAAGCTACTTTTTTCAAAAATTAGGTAACGTTTTGTAAAATACTTATTTTATCTTACACCGGCCTATTACCTCATGTCTGGACTCTTCTGTCATTTGAAAGGCCATAGTTTGTTTAGCTAAGGCATCGATGAGAAGACCTAATATATATAAACGTATAAATGCCCCTAGAAATTTGTCCATAGCCCATTATTCTTACATTGACAGGTGACACAAAGCAGTCTGTACATTGAACAAGACATACGCAGAGTTTTTGCGTGTTTTTAAGCTTCCTGCTGTCTAATCATGCAATTCTGCAGCTTAGCTGCTCACCTGCCTCCTGCAAAGGTGCAAAACAGGATCCTGAATGACCTAATAGAAAAGGTTACATAAAACACACATTCAATGCTTTCTAGACAAAGTACTCCTCTAAGTCAATTCAGCATCAACAGAGAGCAGACAATATAAAAATACCTTTTTGTATTTTTGTGATATGCAACTATCAGAGTTTCAAAATCTGTGGTGGATCATGCCATGCCTAAGTTCAAATAGATTTAAAAAGATTTCTGTGAAAAAATCAAGTGATATCACAGCTAATGACAATCTCTACTTAATTCATGGTGAGAAATATAAAGCTGGTAATTTGTAGTAATGAAAGTAGAAATGAATAGTGAAACTATTGTTCATTTTATAAAATGAAGGTACGACTTTCTAATGGACACTATCTTAGAACTTGTTGAAGGTCTCTAGAGCAGAAATCAAAACACAGAGAATAAGTGTCCCTTTGCATGGAACAGTCAGTTGCAAGGAGTATCTCACATAAGATGGGATGAGATGAGATGAGATGAGATGGGGCAACTAAGGAATAAACAAGTAAGGAAAAACATGAGGTAACAAGTTTAGCATAAAATAATGACTGAGATAGAGATGATAAGTCAAACATTCCTATGTATGTTCTTTCTCTCTACACAAAACCAAGGAAAACTCAGTTTAAAGAAAAGAATAAATTAAAGACAAAATAAAATTAGTATATGGATTTTAAAGGTTTAAAAAAGTAGAATGCAGTTCTTCCAGTTCTTATTTCCACAACAAAAGAAACTTGCCCAAGAGATACAGTTATGCCATATAGCCTTATTGGTTAAGCAATATAGGTGAAAGATTTTACTAAAATATAAACAGCATTCTATCAACAAACTATTTGATATGGAATCATACAAAGGAAATCCTGGGTTTGTACATATTCAGGTTTTTATGTTCGTAACATACCGTAGAAAATGATCAGGAAAAGTCAAGGAAGGAAGCAAAACTAACAGATACAAACAGTCTGCTTTGCAGAGATGTATCTGCATTTCAGCTTATATGTGTTGCAAATTTGAGAGAGAAATACTACACAGAATTCTGTAAATTTACCCTTTCATACATTTGAAGGTCAGAAACAGCTATCAAGCCACGACAATAGCACCTCTAAGAGGCATAGATGTGAACAACCAGAATATTCTATTCTAATAAAGGACAATTCTGCACCCCAAATACCTTATCTGGAAACAACTATCAGAAGTTGTAAAGACATATGCCTTAGGCTACGACATTTAGAATAATGTTGTGAAGGAAACAAGAGCTACAAGAAATGTTCTTCAGCTTGCCTGAACTCTATAGCCAGCATTTTGTGAAAACAGAGATCTCTCTGAAATTTGGAATCATATGCTTTTCCATGTCTGATTTTTAATATTGTAATCTTACTATTTTGGGGAAGAACACTAATGTCTGACAAAACACTTGTGGTTCTTATGATTGGGGTTCTCAGGTTTGATTTCAAGGCATTATTTGAGTATAAGAGTCATTCAGAAGGTTCTTTTCAAACCATACAACTTACTTACATAAATGACATTAAAGGTAATCCTGGTTTGGACTTCTACGTATTCTGCATGTAATATATCTAAGTGCTTCTAATGCTTAAACACTAACTTTTCAATCCTTACACCATTTCTACTGCTTGTACAACTACAGTGGATACAATGGCAATCAGGGTCATATTTCATGAAGGTAAAAATAAACTGAAGATGGATTCTTTACTACTAACTTACAAGTGATATTCATATACTCAATGGAAAATAATGTATCTTTGCAGTTTTACAGCCTCTGCTGTTACAGATCTTCTTTGCGGAAAGCTTGTAAAATATTCCTGGAGGACACTATATCTACATCTTTTCACCTATGTATCACGCGCTTAATACATACTGTGTCACCACAGGAACCATCAAAGTGGGAGCACGAGGCATTTCTAAATGGACTTTTATAAATTAAACTTTTATATGCTCCTTCTAAATGGGAACAGAAAGGCAGTCTAGAAATTCTTTCTCCTCCCACTCTGATTTCATCAATGCCACATGTTAAGTTTGAAGAGGGAGTAAAGATATTTGGCTTTCTTACAGATACAAAATAATGTCATATTGTAGCTTGTGAGTTGGCACTGTGGCTAGACCATATGTGCCACTACCAAATAAGGGCCCAATCCTGCAGAACACTTAGCAACTTGCAAGTTTTCAATGCCCCATGCAATCTGTCCCATAGTCTTTATTGGGCTGAAGACAAAACAACACAAGAAATCTAAGGTTTCCCTCAGGCAGGTATATTTGTGAGCCCTGAATGAAATTCTAGTAAAAATAATCAGATGTATCAAGTCTCTGGAATAAAAAAAAAAAAAACCAACCTTCTAATACCACAGGAAAAAAATCACAGCATGAATGAAAACTAAGCTATGAAGCACAATCTGATACCTCCAGTTCTCTATTAGATTTTGTCAGTGACACAGCAAATACACCTGGAAAATTTTGATTTGGTTTACTCACCTCAAGGAAAAAGTTGACCAGGTATGGATCCTGTTTCAGCTTTGCACATACTATACAGAGAAACTGAATTTCTTCATTTTCTGTTGGTGTTGCCAGAACTTCACCACACAGCCTGATTAATTTCTGTCACATAAAGAAAAGTGAACAGTTAAGACAGGGAGTAAGTTAGAGCTTTTTCTAGGAATGATGGACTGAATTCTTTTTCTATATACATACTACAATGGCGTATGATTACTGACTTGAACATTTGCTGTAGATTTAGATTGCTATGAATAAGACTTCTTTATTACTTATGACTTGCATTGCAGTGGCAGTTCAAGGCTCTAATCATAAATACATTAAAACCGATACTGCACTCGAGCAGTTTCTTTAACTCACTCAGCAATGGAAGAATTAAAGATACCATTACCTACAGCAGAATAAGAGAAACTTGTCATACAAAAATATAGTTTACTTAAAATTTGAACAGTACCTGCACTGGCCTATGCACATTTATGTGGGGAAGAAGAGGTTGCCGTATTCTTCCAAGAAGTTTTGTATAAAAAGCCAAAACTTGCTGTTTCATTCCTGGAGGACACTGAAACAAAACCAGATGAACAATAACAAAAATATAACGAATGCGGAGAGAAACATAGATGCAAATTTGTCACTCAAAATGGCTAATCAAACAGCAATAATTAATCCAAAAGTATTTTTAAAAAAATCATCATCTGTAACACATTATTTTTATCAATATTAACAGAGATCAACAAAAAATGTTGCATCTCATTACTGTTTTCTTTTTTTTTCTTTTTTTAATTTCAGTTAATTGCTCTAGTGAAGACTTCAACTAATCTTTCCAGGAAATACTCCCTATCAATACAGTGATAAGGGGAAATTAACTCTGAATTAATTAGCTACAGGTCAGCTGTCTTTTACGGTACTGTGCCACAAAATCCAGCAATTCAGTGAGTCAGTACATACAAATATATGATCATAAACTATAAACATCTTCACGTCTACAAAAGGTTTTTTAAATTCATGAGCAATTAACCTTAGACAGATAAAGTGTTTATAAATGCATAGATGTTCCAGGACAAGAGAAAGCTGTTGTTTTCCCTGAGATTCAGCAGAATATAATCACATTTATCTGTGGAACATCCAGACCATGTTCTACTGTCCCTCATGCACCACATCACATGAAAGTACTTTCCTATCTCTATGAGATCTGATGGCTCGTGGTCCTTTATGTACCTTTGTTTCTAGCTAAATCCCCCCTGACTCTAACATGTTCTACCTCGTTAATAAATGCTGTTATTCCATAGGTTAATTTTAACCCACATTTCCCTCCTCTGTTTCACTGCACAGGTGAATGAAGCATGGGTGGCAACAGCCAGGAATGACAACTGCTTAACCTGGTTCTCCTTCCAAGGTAAATATCCCGAGACTATTAATCCCTAATTATCACTGAGTTGTCAAGCAATACAATACAATACAATAATGTAATAAGTCTAAGTGATTGCTGTGAAGGGATATTATTCTTTTTGCAACAGATCTTTGCAACATCTTGCAAGCGCTGAACTGTGTGTTTACTTCAGATATATCAACTCACAAGTGGCAAAGTATAAAGACAGGCTGTACAAGAATTACTTGTACAGGCATATTTGCATGAGTGCAAAATGACTTCTCTCAACTCTTAGAAACATACTACTAATTACCCACTTCACATATGTCTCCATTTCATCTTGGTTTCTTGACAAAGTTTATAGATTACTGAATGAGCTGTATTTCTGAGCAAGTATTTTCAACACATCAGGTATCTTACCCTGATCGTAGGACAGCTGGTATAGTAACAGGAATTGTAGAGCTCTGGCCCTTCCAGAGCAAGGAACATCCCACTCTCTGACAGCTAGTACCCTAGATTGTCTATACATGTAAAACTGAGCAGATTAAAAACTCATGACAATGTGTAAAAGGCTGACTGAGAACAAAACCACGGAGAGCTCCATTTATCCTTGGAACAGCACACATGCTTTCCTAACTGCATCTGTACCATGACACAAAAAAGTTCTAGCACAAGGGCTGCCAAGTTAATTCACCCCGTGATCCATCCAACTCCATACATTTCAGCTCATAAGTCTGCCAAGAAAGACAGCAACACGAATGCACCAAGACCATGAAGCTAATTTCACTTGTGCCACAAACCAGACATGAGAAGAACCAGACAACATTGCCAAGGGCTGCATTCACACCAAAGACTCGGATGTGAAAGCTGCCTATGGATCAGTTTAAATTAATGCTTTCTGACGTGAAGTATCTCTGAGCAATAACTCATCACATTCAGAAAAATAAAACAAAATTTGTATTTGATACAGCACTTTTCACCCACGAATCTCCCAACACTTAACAAAGGAGAGAGAGGGATAATACTGTCTTGCAGAAGCCAGAAAAAGTCTAGGCTGAACAGAAATGTTTCTCCTACTTCTAGCTTCACAGTCAATATTATCAGAGTGGTAAGTAACAGATCTCAGGGTTAGGCCTAGTCAGCATCTCACTGGTTGTCTCACTGTGATCACACTTGTAAAAGACAGTTATTTGTAACATAAGCTAACAGCTATTTTCTAGAGTTTAGTGTCCCACACTACCATCTACTGTAGAACTTCAGTCCCTATTACAATTAGGAGCTCACACAAAAGATAATCTGCTCTGCTGAGAAGTACATACATCAGCTTTTCCTAATGTGTAGAGTGTCTCCAAAATCTTGTGATGTAGCAAATATTCCATACATGGTCCTGTTTCGCCTGACTCCCTCTCATTTTCTTCTTGAACCAGAATATCCAACATCTGTTCCAGGTGAGAAGGAATGTTGGTATCAGTCACAGGAGCTTTGTCATCTAAATAGAAGAGATGTGCAATTAAGAATGATTAAAATATTGTCCTCGCTCTTCTTAAGTTCAGTTCCAAATTTAAGATTTAAAAACATGACCACTCATTTAAAGAATCTTATATATAGTACATAAGTTTTTTAACATGTCTTAAATCTAATATTCAGAACCATATCTGGAAATGTAAACTGGAATATGCATTAGGCAGGTATCTAATCTTGCCACGGGGAAAAAGTAAAACACCAAATTTCAAAATATGCATTAATTACACAGTCAAAAAGGAAAACTTTTACAGCCAGAAACTAAGCTTAGGGAGAGAAAGGTTCAGCTCTCAATCTTCTGGTTAGTATCCACCCTGTCTTGACAACTTCCTCTTATGACTCTTCACATAGTATTCTGAAATCTATAAACAGCCTCTAAGATCAGCTTAATTTGCAGCTGATCAGTTCCTTTACAAACTAGGTAACTAAATAAACGGTTTTTCTAATGGTAACAACAAAGAAAACCCAAACTCTATGCTGTTTATTCTTCAATTTTTTTAGATTTGTTTTTTATACTTTCTGCATTAAGATAGCATTCAGTCAAACTTTATGAAGGAAAGGGTAAGACTCTGATTTCATTATACTAACGTCATGAAACTGCTGTGGATTTATGCCACTGGCAGTGGGAGCTGGCATTAACATGTTGCAGAGCACGTCCACATGTGGAGATTTTCCTGTTTATTTTTTTCAGCTAAATTCTACTTGAGCAAATATCCCACTAGGGAAATGGTTACTACTTCTTATGCAATAATTTAAAAATAACTGTCACTTGCATGCAAATGGCAACAAGATGACAAAGGAGAACTGCCTTAACAAAGTGTTTGGTCTCTGCCACAACCTCCAGTCAGCCTAGAGTGTTTTGCTTGAGTTTCCTAGACATAATTCTGCTCCCACTGCAGAGGACATAAATATATCCACTGAATGAAAACTTGTTTTTCACAAGACTTTTGAAAGTCTGGGAGAGAGGTCAGCTTCTATTCTGCACCACATAATCGCAGGTATCAGTTTTCCCCTACCACCCTGTCATTTCTACCTTAGGAAACATCACATAGCGTTCCAAAAGATGGGTATTTAGAACCAAGGGTTGAGTTTCAGCTTGTAAGAGTAAATATTGATATAAACAAGATCACCAGTCCCAGACACAAACACAGCTTCAATAGCTACTCTAGCAGAAACGCAGAACTAATAAGCTTGAGGAAGGCATGGTAACAATCACTTTCAAAACTTAATAGTTTAATAACTAGGACCAAAAATTAAAAATTTAAATGTTGCATAACTGTTGCAGGAAACCGGGGAAAAATTTAAGAAAAAGCAACTACAGCCGTATTTCATCAGAATATCCATTTTTTAGAAGAGCAAAATAAGGTCTGAATAAGTTTTAACAAAATGTGTTCTAAATCTGCTCACAAATTCACTTTTCAGAGCTATGTTATCAAAATAGCTTTCATGGAGACAAGACACTAAAGAAAAAATACCTAATACTAGCACACAGAATTCAGATATGTCTGGTAAAATCTATGACCACAATATTACTTTTGCTAAAATCTTGGAAACAAAAAGAAAATCCCTCATGCAAAACAATAAGAAGGATAACAGCAGGGACTACATTTCTGTAGTTGTCTGTTTAGATTAAACAGAATATGTGAAGACAGAAATTGGGTCAGATGTGAAAAGGTACAATCCCCTACATAGTACTCAGGAAAGAAGACCTTCTTCCCTCGATCGTTTTTCATGCCTACTTTTTAAGGGATGAATGGAGGTACACAGTATTTTTAATTACTCATTATTATTGTTGGTATTTTGTTAAAAGACATGACTCATTTTAGTATTTCTTAATCTTTACTGTTTAACAACACCACAATTGGGAATTCTAGTTTTCACTAAATAAAGAGACAAAACCAGGATGTTTTCTTGTTTTACCTGACGTCTCTATGTAGTAATGGGTGATTGCTTTCCAGTGGTAAACAAAATCTTCTTGTAATGGAAGAGAAGGTGCGAGCTGTGGGGAAAAAAAAACAACAGACAAAAACCAGTTAGGAATAAAATAAACATATTTCCTCAGAGATTAAATTGAATTTTATCTTATATTTGCAAGTAAACTGCTGCAGACTAGTGCTACAATTCTTACTCTGTGCTCTTTTACCTTTAACAAGGACTACATACATTATTCATGGCATGAGCCCCATGTCATACTGCCTAGCTTGTGAGCATCAGTAATAATCTCTGTGATGTCTCTATGACCAATCTATTTGAAGCAACAAAAGCAATTGCTTAGACAGCAAAGCAACACTAGAAATGTAGGTTTGAATTGTTTAGATCTCAGAGTTTTGTCCTGTAGGAAAAAATCATGTTCTTTTACATCTGCTCTTGATCCCATCTTCCCTTTCTGTATGCACTGTTCTCCTCTCTCCCTCTGCTCCCTTAAAAATACCGATTAGCTGCTTCATACAGTTTTTGCCGTGACTTTTTTTCCTGTTAACCACAACTTTTAAAAGATCTTTGTTTCATGGGTTTTGCCCATCAGGCCCAACCCCAGAGTTTGACAGGTTGTTCTTTTTTTTAACAAATAAATTTCTTATTTCATTTCTGAAAGAAAAGGAAGTTTCCTCTTTTCTGGAGGAATTTGGGATGGCCATTTGGGCTTGACTGGCATCCAGGAATAACACGCTGCAAGAACGAAACACAGCCTCCCACCCCGTCAACATCAGTACTGCTCCTTCCTCACCGAGCTTGAGAACTGGGTGCCCTGCAGCCCATTACACCACAGACACAAGCAACTGCTACACCACAGGCAGCATGTGAAAAAAGAAGGACCATGATCATTTTACCACTCTGCTCTCCAAAGTGAGATTTGAGGCAAACACTGAATTTGTGACCACAATATAAAATGTTCAGAGCTGGTAAAATCAGGAATCCTATAGGGAAAACCCCCTCCACTCAACAGATCACATGAGAGTCTGTTGTTACTGAGGCCTAATCCTACTTGCTTGAGGCTTTTCTTGGACAATCAGGTCCTCAAGTCATTCTTTTATAGGCAATCCTGAAATAAAGGATTATCACTTGACATGATGGTAGCAATGAGACCTGTGGGCAAACAGAAAGAATCCCATGTATATGTTGGCGTGTCCATTTTGGAAGGATAAGGAGCTGAACCATCCCGACAAGCTATGGAGTCCAGTCCTTCACAGCATCACAGAGTGGCTGAGGCTGGAAGGGACCTCTGGAGATCATCTGGTCCAAACCCCCCGGCTCAAGCAGGGCCACCGAGAGCCGGTTGCCCAGGACCATGTCCAGACAGCTTTTGAATATCTCAAAGGATGGAGATTCCACAACCTCTCCAGGAACCTGTGCCAGGGCTCAGTCACCCTCACAGTGAAAAAGTTTTCCCCCCAGAAGCTACAGATACCACATTTGAGATTAATAACTGTGAATTCCTCTACTGTCTCCTCGTAGGGCCTAAAAAGTGCTGAGTTGCCTCAGCTCTTGGACAAACAGAAGCACAAGGCTCAAACATCTGTATACTCTTCACTAGGTAGTGTTGGTCTCTGAAAAAGCCTTGGAAGTTTTCCACATCAGTTGTTTCTCTTCCTTGAATTTAATGACAGTTAAATTTATCTTGGTAAAGACATTAAAGCCCAATATATGAACAGCATGCCCTACTGTGATAAGAAAGTGGAATGCTAATTGTTAACGACCCTTTGCAGACAGGACTTTGAAATGCAAGACTTTTTAAAAAAGCAGTGGTGCTTGGTAACTATCTACACCTGCATCCTGTGCGGAAATGTGCCCTCACAAATGGCAACTAGGAAATCAAACTTACATTGCTTATCCATTCCCTGACAGCCTGTGGACTCATTAAGTCTTCCACGTTTCCAGGGCTGGGCACTGAGAGTAGCACTTTAGCACACCAGCTACCACAGAGTAAGTATCAGGACACTGCACACTGGACAAAACTAGTTTATTGTACCATGAAGTTCACCAGGTTATTGGAATTCAGAAGAATAACTGAACAAACTGAAGACTGAGCACACAGTATTTTGTATCGTGCTTGCTATGTCACACTTGCTGCTGTAGATGTGTATTTCAAGCAATGTAATGATCATTTTGCATCTTCCTGTAATAAAACTATACCGAAAACTCAACTGTGGCTGATGAATGGCACAGAGACCACTTTTGAGGAATACCAGGCCTTTCAGACCACTCTATTTCCAAAGTAACACATGATAGATAACATTAAAGATTTATCCTTGACTGATGCAATTTTCCTCTCCACTTCTTCTAGCCTCATCTGCTTTGAGATGAATTTAGTGCCCCTGAGCAGTGCCAGGAAAAGGATTTCACTTCTCAGCACTGTCAATAATTTATCCACCGCAGGAGAGAACTGTGGATACAGACATTCTCCCTCCCAACAAACGCCTCCAGGGACTCCTCTCAGAGGTAAAGAGGTAATTCAGTGACAGGTCCTGCCCTTTTTAATTAAAATACTCAGTGATTTCACAGAGTCTTCTCTGATCAAGGACTGCAAGACAGAGCTACCAAACAGAGATACCATTAGCATGTGTGTGCACCTATGCTTGTGTGTACATTCACGCCTGTTGGGAATATACAATCAACCTTGCCACCAACCGGACCTGGTGATACAGAGCTGTGGCAGCTTCACCTGCGTTGGGCTACCAGACCCGGCAACTCCTAACTATATAGAAAAAATTGTATTTCTTTACTTGTTCAGTTAAAATACCCTCACACCCAAATACTCCCACCCCCAAAATTCCTCTTCCCACTGCAGATGCACCTAGTAAAAATCTGCTTGTTACAGTACAGCTAACACCTTTAACAGAGATGTAACTCCAGCAATGCTATATATTATTCTGAGAGAAGTGTTTTACTGAGAAAAAATGAAAAAAAAAACCACCAACAACCCTCTTAACTTAGTTATTCAGACACAAAATCAAGGTAAAGACCAAGACTAAGATACCAGTTTATATACAAACAAAGCCCAGCACTGGAAAGCATTAGAAAAATCTAAGTTCCCAAACACTTGGTCAGCATGCTTTAACCCTACTAGGACAGGTAATCCTAGGATGAAGTTGTAGTTTCTATTTTAGGATGAATTATTAGCTGCCAGCTGAGATGAAATACATGTTACAGTTGCCAATCTGAGTAATCACTCTTTTGTAAAATATACATACTTGTATAAAGATTCTGAAGCAAAACAGAATTCATTGTGAAGGCTATTAATTTCTGCTATTTGTCTAATTTGAAGGAATTACTGTAAAAGTGCAGTTATTTCTCACAGTTATATGAATTCATTTTGATGTAATTTCATGTGTTCTTACTAATTTTGAGCTATTGATTTCTGATCTCAAAGTGAAGTTCTCCTCCTTTGGGGGAAAAAAACTCAACATCTTAAAGACTGCAGTGTGGGTGTTGGTATATCAAATAGCCAAAACTCACTGAACACTACTAAAAACCAGCCCATTTGAGCAGACATTGATTAGCTCTTCCATCTGGTCCCCAGCTCCAGCAGTCGAGCTTCCTGCGAGCGAGTGAGTGTTCTCATTTACGAACTAAACTTAACACATGCTGCCTTATCATTCTGGTGACAATACATTACTAATGATTGAACCCCACTCTTT